AAAGTGACGACCTAGCAAACAGTTATACCAAGAAAGTTACGAGAAGTTGGGCTGTGTCAATCCCATGATAGTTTATCACGGACATCTCGGAGTTAAGAAGACATTGAGTCACCTACGACAGAGATTTTACTGGATAGGTATGAGGCAAGATGTGGAAGAATCGTGCAGGACGTGCAGTACATGTTGTGCTAAAAGGGGACCCAAGCATAAGGGACGTGCTCCAATGAAGTTATATCAAGTTGGTGCACCAATGGAAAAAGTAGCCATTGACATTGCTGGTCCTTAGCCCCAAACTCGTGCTGGAAACAGGTACATTTGAGTGGTGATGGATTTTTTCACCAAGTGGCCTGAGGCAATACCAAATCACGAAGCTACAACTGCAGCTTTGGCTATTATTGATTTCTTCTTCAGATTTGGTATGCCATACAAACTGCATTCAGATCAAGGCCGTAACTTCGAATCAACTGTGTTCCATGAATGCTGCAAGTTGTTTGGCATACAAAAGACCAGAACAACGCCACTTCACCCACAGTCCGATGGGATGGTAGAAAAGTACAACTGGACACTGGGACAGGAATTGGCAAAGTTTTGTAATAGCCACCAAGATGACTGGTATGTCTTACTCCCTCCACTATTGATGGCCTATAGGACAGCAGAGCATGAAGGCACTGGATACACTCCAGCAAAGTTAATGTTTGGTCAGGAACTTCGGTTGCCAGTGGATCTGTTAACAGGACGCCCACCTTATGAAGAGTTGCCTGAAAATGTGTCAGAATTTGTGAAAGTGTTATCGGAAAGGATGGATGATATTCACCATCAAGTGCATTCAAACTTGAAAACGTCTGCTGAATCGATGAAGTTATCTTATGATAAGAGATTTACTGAAGTCAGCTTTGTACCAGGAGACAAGGTGTGGTTGTATAATCCCAGGAAGTCTCCTAAGTTGTCTTCTCCATGGGAAGGCCCATATGACATAGTGAATCGTCTCTCAGACGTGACTTTTCGGATAAAATGTGGTCGACGAGGTAAGCCAGAAGTGGTGCATGCCCTTGGCATTATCACGGTCCAGAACATTTCAGTTTGAACGAAGTGAACAACGGAACAAAAGACAATGTTGAAGACGTGTTACCTGAAAAAGCCACTGTCGAAGAAGAAACTCTACCCGGTTTTAAGAAGGGAAACAGTGAAGCCTTTGATGAAGTTACTACCACTGATGTGACTGTTACGAATAATAGGACATTTCCTGATGGAGCAGATGAACTTTATGTGAAGCAGAAGCCAACGAGACAGAGACCAGTACGGAAGAAGATACGTCCCATAAAATTAAGAGACTTTGTTGAATTTTAATTTTGTGTTTGTAAATCCTGTACATTTAATTAAGTTATTGTTAATTATCTATTGGTTTAATTTAAGTGGGTATTGTTCGAAACGAACAATACTAAGGAAGGGGCACTGTTACGATAGCGGAAGTCACGTGACGCTGGTAACACGTAATGACTTCTAGAAAGATCGGGGAACATCACGAATAATCCAGTATTTGCTAGGCGCCCTTTATTCTTGTATATAGGTGCGAGGCCCGGCATGGCCAGGTGGTTA